GGGGGGGGGGGGGGGGGGGGAGGAAGGCCGACCGATTTGGAGTTTGATCCCTTTAGTCGCTCGCATCTCTCGTCACAAGTGAAGAAAAGATTTTTGTCTTTCCACGGTCCAACTTTTCAGTTGAACGAGCGGCATGTGAATGAGCGAACGTTACGAGCCGCCGTTACCTCCCAAGCATCGGCTCATCGCCGAAGAAGCATGACGTCCCCCCCCCCCCCCCCCCCCCCGACCCCCCTCTTCCCTTTGAAACTGTGGAGCGAAACGTGAAGCTGTTCGATGTCCCTCGGATGTGATTCTCGCGCTTCTCGGCGAATGCGACGGCGTCCGAGCCTGTGGTTCGCTTCGTTCGAGGCGCCCTCGAAATCCGGACGGAGAAAATTATCACGTGTTTCGGGGCTTGGCGACCGAATACGCAAGTAGATCAGGGCAAGGAGACATCTGCAGGATTTGGACCCATATCTCCCGATTGAGTTTTTCCGAGAAAGACTTTCACTTCCCCCGACTCCGATTTATCAGAGCAGAGAAGACGCACGGCGAGCATATGGTTTTTTTTTTTCGAGAACCCACTTGCGACTATTTCGCTTTCGGGATCTGACCCACATCCGCATCGCCGAGCGGATCCGGGCGAAAATTCCTTCCCCTCGATGATGCGATCGAGGCACGAAACGAAGGGTTCGGAGCCACGGGGATGACTGACCCCCGAAGAGGATGTGGAGGATGTGCAAGGGGGTGAGTGTGCGTAATGCATGAGTCGAGAAAAAGCTCGGGCCCCAGGCCTCGTTTTTTCCCTCTAACGGGACTCGGAACTGACTGATGACTCTTCCTTCCACTTCACGCAACCTGCTTCTGCTTCTTCCTCTTCGGATTCGTCGCGCCGAAAGAGAGAGAGAGAGAGAGAGAGAGACCGTGCAGCCTTCGCGAATGCATCGGGGACGAGGGAGACGCTTTTGCCGTGGAAAGGACTGGAGTCCGTGCCGGACTCTCCATTTCCCACCAAAATATCAGGTCATTTCAGAATAAAATACGAATATTTGCCGAAATGAAAAAAAAATTAAAAAAAACGTGACGAAGGAATTGGGTGTACCAAAGAGGAGGAGAAGGAGGAGGAGAAGGAGGAGAGAAACGGTCAGCTGTCACAGGATAGAGAGGAATCTGAATGCGGGCGTCGTATCGGGGTCAAACCTCCTACACCGTCGAGAGACAGACGCGGAAATGAAGAGAGAAGGTAGAGAGAGAGAGAGAGAGAGAGAGAGAGAGAAGAGAGAGGAGGACTCGGAGGGGTGGGGATAACGCGTTTAACTCTCGTACATTCCTTGTTTCACGGTCAGACCGGCTCGCACGCTCCAGCCTCAGCTCCTCTCTCCTCGCTCGCTGTCTCTCGTCGCTTCCCCCTAATCGACCGTGATCGTCACAGCCACTTTACTCTCGTCGACGGTGATCGTGGTTCCTCGTCTCATCGCCATGCACGTCAGGACGACCGTCTTGCTAGCAGTGAGTCTTCTCTCTCTCTCTCTCTCTCTTCCAGTAGCGTTTTTTTTTTTCTACTTTGTTGAGAGGTTCGTGGAGCTTCGCGTCGTGCAATCGTATGTTAAACGAACGTTCGCTACTGCTTCTCATTTTATCTCGTTGCCGAACGTCATTATTAATTCATGAATTCCGTTACGTCCCGACCGGCAACAAAAAAAAACGCCGTCAGAAAACGCTTCGAGACACGACCCGTCCCGAGCGGATCGACGTCGAAGATAATCATCGCGTCGAAGATAATCATCGCCCCTCACGATCGATCACCGACTCCTTATCTTCTCGGAGATCGTCGAGATGAGATACCGACTCGCGAATCTCCGAGCCCCAATCACCGGTTCCGGTCTCGAATTCGACGCTTTCCAGGCTGAAAACGGCGGTGCCGCGAAAAGTCGTAAAATAAAAATAAAAAATGAAAAAAATAATTAAGGAGGATTGGAGTGCATATGTGCCTAGAAAACCACAATTTTCCCATATTTGGCGCTTTAGAAGGTCACGGTTAAAACCCTGAGGCCATTCGAAAACCACAAAATGGGCCGAGGCCCGTCCAGCGTAATCAATTATATATTTTTCGCAGGTATCTTATTTCTTCTCGTGCTCGTACTGTAATTTCTTTTTTTTTTCGATCATCGCGCCGTGACGAAAGGAGCCAGGGGTCGAACACGCGCGGCAGATTTCATTGCCCGTTCCGAGAAAAGTCCACTTTTACCATGTATACGACCCACGACCTGGATCGAGAAGACGGAACCGGAGACACAAAAAGAGAATGAGGGGGGGAGGGGGGGGGGGGTTCCAAAGAAAATAGAAAGGAAGGAAGGAAATCCGTTCTTCATTGTCCTTTGTCCGCTCCGCGAAAAGGAACCGGAACGAGAAACTCGGGCCAAGGTCGACTCGACCGCGAACTCGACCCGGAGTCGACCGCGGACTCGACCCGGAGTCGACCGCGGACTCGACCGTCGTCGAGTGCGTCGCTCCCCGGATCCGAACGAAAACTGTTTGACGACCCTCTCGTTGCGTTGCAGGTGTGCGGAGTGCTGGCGTTGCTCTCGTCGCAGCCGGCAGCCGCCCAGCAGCAGTCCCTCCTGCAGTACCTCATGACGACCCTGAACCCCTTCCGGAACGGTAACGGGCAGTCGGGCGGCCAATACGGCGGCGGATCCATATGGGACCGCGTCTCCGGCTTCTTCTCGGGTCTCTTCAACCGCATGAGCCAGGCCGGGAACTTCAACGGCGGCGGCCTCGGCAGCGGCCTTGGCGGCACCCGGCTCGGGAACATCCTGAGCGGCGGCAACGGCGGCGGCAGCGGCGGCAACGGCGCCTACCCCAACGCCTACGACGGCAAGACGAGACCCACGCGGGCCGACAACCGGATCCGACCGCAGCAGTAGCGACCGGTACTCCGGTACTCCGCCGGTACTCGATCGTGTCCACACCAAAGGCACTCATTCACGGCGATCGTTCCTTTCATCCCTGCGATCTCCCTTCAAGACACGAAAATCGTGCTTCTCCCGTGTGTATCTTGCATTTAACGACGCATCTTTCTATTTATTATATCGGTGTGAATCGACTGTGCCTGCTGTGGTTTCCTTTCGAATTAAAAAGAACGACAGAGACAGATGACGCGAATGCCTAGATTACGGCGGGGAAACTGGGTCAGACCAACGGGCGAGATAGTTTAACAGGTTTTCCACTCTTTTCTCTCTCTCTCTCTCGCCCGAACGGAACAGTTGCGAGCCGCCTGTCCCCCTTCCACACTTTTCCAGCCGGTACTTTTTTCTTCCGCATGGTACTTATTTCTTTCGTATTCCGCGTCGCTTCGCTCGCGTTAATTCTCCTCACGAACCGATGACGTCATCGATGACATCACCGATCGCGAAACAGACGTTGTATTCGTGGTGACCCTCACGCACCCATTCACCTTGACCGTGACGCGAAGAAGCGGGCACGTGAGCGGAAAGCAGCGCAATAAATTCATCTTCCGGCAAGATTTATCGGTTCGTTTCGAATCGGTGCATAGCTGATTATACGACCCCGAGCACGGAGAGGAAGAGTTATGCTCGACGTGCTCCAAAAGGCTCGTGGAGGTCCAAAAAACAACTTTTAAGACTTTTTCTCGCATTAATTTCCGTATTGCGTGGAACATCGGCGTCCGCAGACGCGGGAAATTCTGAAATTCGACGGCGAAGCGACTGCAAGACCGGCTCGTGGTGCCGATTGCATAAAGAATTTCCTGTTTCTTGGTGTCTCTCGCCGCGCACGATATGAAGTGAGGGGAATTAAACCTTTCAGGCTTGAATTAAGGCCGCTATCGGAATAATATCCTTTTTTTGCATTTTTGAGCTTTTTCGCGATTGTAATTGAAATTTTCGTGCTTAGCATGCAGTTTTCATATTTTGTATAAATTTACCATATCATACCATATATTATATATGAAACATGTAATTAAATAACTGAAGATAAAAAACTAATGGGTGAAAGAAGGCCTCTGATAGAACCGAACCATGCATAATTGCGTCCATTTTAGCGTAATTTGGAGCGCAAAGTCACGAGAATCCTAAGAAATTGCCACAGACACGATGTAAAAGCAATGTCCACTGGAACGGACGCCAGATCTGAAAGGGTTAATGAAGAGTTTCGGTGCGAACCCGACGAAAGCTGCAGAGTCAACGAACTCCAGAGGAAAAAGACTGGTTGATACGCCCCGAAGGAAAAAAAAAAAAGTCCGGCTCCATTAAGACAGGTCCCGGCCTTGAAAAGCGGCAGGAAAGCAAGCAAGTTTGCATCTCGGAGGCCCTTCCCCCCCCCCTACCCCCCACCGATCGAACGTCGCCGTCAGGGTCTAGCGTCAGGACCGGCGATCGACATGCCTCCTTGTGCATGTCTGGCCTGCCTCCGCCGCTCCGTCGACCCAGAATCCCTCATCAGTTCTCTCGAACCTCTTCAGTCATGAAGAGCGACTCTCTCCTGGTGAGTCTTTTCTTTCTCACTCTCTCTCTCTCTCTCGCCTGGTGAGTCTTCTCTCTCTCTCGAGGCTAGATCATAGGTTCTTTTTTTTTAATTATCGCTTCGATGGTACGATCTGGTACTTGGTGCTCGGTGCTCGTGCGACCGTCACGACGAACTGGGAGTTCCGAAGTACCGGTCGTGCGAGGTCGACCCGATTCTTGCCGGAGTCCTTGAGCTTCGTTCGATAAAATATGGCAGGAATCGGGCATACTTCTCGTCTTCTCCCGAACCGACGCCAAGAAAGGCCACGAACCTCGGGGCATGGCAAAGGGGCATGTCCCCCACGAAACACTGATTTTACCGCGATGCCAAAGCGGATTCCTTTCGATGAGCATCAGGATTTTACTTTGAGCAGCACTTCGGCCGTCCGATTCTCCTTTCGATTCCAAGGAGTCGATCGATCGGCACCTTCGACTCGTCCATCCCTCGGGAAGAAGAGGTTTGGGGACGAAGAGGGTTCAACCAGATTTGAGGAGGAAGAGACGGGATCCTCCTCGAAGGACGCGAGACCGAGTGGGTTTCCGTGTCGTCGTCTCGAATCGCCACCATAAAAGTCTCGACTGCGACACGGCCCTCGAGAAAGCGTGGGAAACTTTTTTTTTTTTCGCGATCGATGCTTTTTTTTTTCTAGTCGCTTACCCCTTTTTTCTCGAGGAAACGAAGGCCGTTCGGGTTCGGTCGTCGGTCGAAACTCGTTCGAGTCCGGAAACGGTTTCGGTTTCGCGTCCTGCTCCCTCGACGAAGGGAATTCCAAGCTGATCTCTTTCGTCTCTGAATTTTCAGGTTTTCCTGGGATAATACAAAAAATAGGCCCCGCGGCCTTGAGGATGGCATGAAATAATTATACATTTATATTTCTTTATTGAGCATCAAGATGGCAACACTTTAAACACTTAAAACGAGGAAAGAAGCCCCTTTTGGTTTTTCTTTTTTTTAAACCGCCTTCGAGAAACCGCCAGATAATCCGAAAGGTGAGAAATCCTGGATGGCGGAATATCCTGGAATAAAATTTGGTGCATTTCTTAAGAAATTTTCCATGATATATATATATATTTTTTTTTAGCCTGGGACCTGATGCGATGAAAAAGAATCATCAGGTTCAGTCCCCAGATCATCCCAGTTCAGATTATCCCGGTACCGATACTCAGTACTTGAAGGTACTTGAAACAAAGCAGATCGAATGTGAGGCCATGAAAACGGATTATCGAATTTTTTTGGCTGGAATGGGGCGTGTCGCGGTGTGCGTGCGGAAGAAATTGGCGATGAGCGTGTTTTGTTTGTTTTTTTTTCGCTGCAGGCGGTTCGACTTTCGTGGGGGAAAAGTTTCCGTCGAACGAAAAGGGGGAATCTGCGGGGGAGCGATCGGATGGCGGCAACGAGGGATGGAAGGGGATTCTCCAGGCAATAATTCACGACAAATAATTTATGGCTCCTGGGAACTCGCGGAATTGAATTGATGGAACTCGCGGGTGCGGTGCAATGTCGATGATAAAAAAAAAAGAATAAGGAATCCCGTCCGCGAGAAAAGGGCTGCGCCGGTTCGGCATCTGTGGCAGCTGCGGAGTTGGGACTTTTTTTCTCAGCTTCTCCAAGGTCAAGGTCATTGCGCGATGCGAGAAGGGGATTCCGAGGAAACCTGGAATTACAGATTCGCCTCTCGGAGGGACGGGTTCGTCGCGGCGCGTTTCGGGGAAACGACCAGTTTTCACGGGAGAAAGCCCCTTCATTCGCATCGTTGATCTGTTGCACGGGGTGCAAGTCGGGTGCATGGGTGCATGGGTGCATGGGTGCACGAGTGCACGGGTGCACGGATCTCTCCACGCGTGGTGCAGCTGAAACTCGACGAGGCTCTTTCATCAGGGTCTCGAGGTCCTATCCGAATATATACATATATTTTAAATTCCAAATGTGGCAGATTCACGTGTGGCCGACTCGACTTTAATGTCGTTAGGGAGGCTTTTCGTCGCAACGAAAGACGACATTTCTGGGAGGGAGAACGGAGAGGAATCCGTTCCTTCGCGGTTCGCGTCTGCGGGAGTTCCTTCGCTCGCACGATCTCCTCGGGGTCCGGTTCCCGTCGATGGCATGCATCGCGGAGGAACGTTCTCACAACTCTCGCGAAATCGTGAGAAAGAAATGTTGAACCAGGGCGAGAGGAATCTTTCGATTCTCTACGGTGGTTTTCCCGTTGCCGCGGGCGCGAACATGACATACTGTACGTGGGACCGGCGTAAAGTGTGACATTTTTGCACTTCGGGGCCGTGAGGCGCGGTGTGAGAAAACTCTTCTCATACCGCTAATGAGTTTTCCTCGATTTTTGGCGAATGAGATCGTGGTAATCACTCGATGAGCGATTACGAATCAGGAATCGGGTTTCGAGTTGAATTTCGAAAATAACGACTGCACGCGATTTATTCCTTCACGTATGGGAAAACTTTTTTTTTTGCTTCACGGAGCAGAAAATTCGGGAGAAACCGGTTCCCCCGCTTCCTTCCGCGTCGACACCCCGCGAGCAGACGACGCTCGCCTGCGTCCGATCGGTCGAACACGAGCGACGCCGGCTGCTCGCATCGGTTCATCGGCTCTCGGCCTCTCGTCGCCGAGGGGATAACGGAAGAAGGGGAAGAGGGGGGGGGGGGGAGGAAGAGGAAGTTTTCGTCTTAGTCGGTTCCGCTTTGTTGCGCCGCGAAGAGTCCATCGAGGTGAAACGGCCCGACGGCATGCAGTTCCGACTCCGGGACGCAGATATACAAATCTCTTTCTCGCGGTCGAGAGATATGGACATGCAGGGGCCATATGGTCGCCCGTACGTCCCGATGACGACGACGTGGTCGTCGGCTTTTGGTTTCGTGAGGGTTTTGCCTGCGGGTGCTCCGTACTTATCTGTCGTTCTGTTCGGTCTGCCGTCGTGCCGTGGTCCGAAATCCGTTAACGACAGAAATGGCACACTTCTATTGTAAAAAGTTCCTTATTAGGGAATTCCTCACTTTTCGCTGATAAAAACGACCTGTTAAACTTATACCGATATCGCTTCAAAATCTCATTTATTACAGGAAAGCAAGTAGTCTTTCGTGAAAAAAGTGCGAAGGTAAAAAAATCCGGCATCCGAGACTATCGTACTAAGTGTGCGTACGCGGCAGTACGCTCTTACGTAGGTGCAATAAATCGGATAAATAAATAAAATTTAAAAAAGTGAAAAACGCAATTTGTCGGATTCTAAGTCCCTAATTGTTGCCTGCCGCGCTCCTTTCTGGACGATTCTTCGAGCCGTGGTCTGCAGAGCAGTCGATGTCTGTTAAGCTTCGAGGTCAACATTCGGCCCTCGAGAGCATCCGAAACGGGGGCCGAAGGGCTCGACTGCCTGGCCGAGTCCTTCAGATCC